ACTAGTTTTAATTAAGAAAGGACTTGTATTGCTGAAGTTCCTCAGAAAGAATTTATACCAGAAATTAACAAACGAGCAGATACGCAACAATATATAAAACCACATATCTGATTTATGGTTTAACTGTGCCACAATCTGGGGAATCCGAGATGCTGTTATATTTCATTGTAGCTATGAACTGATTCTATGGTTCCTATTACTTTTTTCCCATTCATTTCATTATTTTATCATATTTTTTTAGTGTTGTGCATCGTGTGTTTATTGACTATTGAGAACAAAATGTCAACACATATTGAAAAGAGTGAATAAGGTTTGACAGTGAAATCTATTGCAGCTGCATTCAGCAATTCAAAAGAAAGCTTATCAAACAAAAAACAGATTTTAATTGATTATTGTAAATGATTTTCATGAAGATTATCATGTTTTATATTACATATAAAGTTTTAATGTTTTATGTAAAAACATACATGCATATACACATATATAAAAGCTTATTTTGTGTGTGTTTTTGTATTACCTGTGCTCACCCTTCCCTTCCATTCCCTTAAAAAGAGTCAACTGTATTGTAAAACACTAGTTTTGCATTGTATATGACTTGCATAAAATTGATAAAAATTGCACTTCACCAGCTTAATTTAGTTCACAGCATAACAGTCACTATACATGAAATTTGATAGGGTCTCAACCACTACTGTGTCTGTTGTATCCCAGCTGACTTGATGAACAGTGGTATTTGGCAAAAGGCCTCATTGGCACTGAATGTTGCAAATATAGTGTAGTTGACATATTGTTATAAGTGAAAGTAAAGGAGAATGTATAGGTTCTAAGGATTGCCATAATATTATAAATTCTAAGTATCATTTAATTGTTTTGAACAGTGTAATTTTTGAGAATTGTTGCACAATGACAGATGACTACATGAGTGAATGTAAAATAATTAAAGCAGTTGAAGGTTGATACAGTTTCTAAACTTTGTCTTTATATATGTATTTTTTATATTTAGTAATGTTAAGTGATTAAGTGTTTTTGCTTGCTTGTTTGTTTGTTTTTTGAATTTCGCACAAAGCTACACGGGCATTCTGAGCTAGCCGTCCCTAATTTAGCAGTGTAAGACTAGAGGGAAGGCAGCTAGTCATCACCACCCACCGCCAACTCTTGGGCTACTCTTTTACCAATGAATGGTGGGATTGACCGTCACATTATAACTCCCCGATGGCTGTAAGGGCGAGCATGTTTGGTGTGACGGGAATTTGAACTCGCCACTTGCAGATTATGAGTCGAGCTCCCTAACCACCTGGCCATGCCAGGCATGTTTTTGCTAATAAGTATCATTTAATACTTATATAAGGGAAGTTTGGTTTTATAACATAACATGCTTCTTCTTTATGCAATGTGTAACTTTTTATTTGCTCATTTTTTGTGATATTAATGATTGTGCAATGGTGTGGTTCTGTTTTTTTTCTCACTGCTTACATGATGTGTATGGTCATCCTGTACACTGTAGATAATAGCAGAGGTAATGTATTTGGCTTTTTCTTAAGCTATTATAAATTGACCATGGATTGTCATTTTTTAAAACCCATTGAGATTTTCTTATTCACTATTGCTCTTATCTAAGTTACTTTCAGAATTACATGGTCTTAAATTGTGATGAAGGTTTTTTTTTCTGTGTTTGTAATCATGAGACTACCTTGAAAATAGTTTTTAGTTGAGCACTTACATTTTTACATAATTTTGTTCTAGACTAAGCTTTAAAGAAATTTATGAAACATTATTTACCAGTCACAAAATAGAATTAACCCTTTCCTTGCACAGTTCTTTTAATTTCAGTTATAAATAGATTAATGATTATCAGTATCAAATTCCATATAGTTGATTTATGTTAACATTGTATTAATATGTTAAACAAAAAATTAATACACAGTTTAACATCTGTAAGTAAACCTCATTTATTCTTAACTGCATACATCATGTTGTACAGAACAGGTGGACATGAAATTTTCACAATGCATTATAAGGAATGCTCTATTCCATATAGAAAAGAACATTTTAATATTATTTTTTTTAACTTCTAATGAAAGAAACTTGCACATTAAACAATCTCTTTCTGTCAAAATAATATGGCTGACTATTAATACATAGGAATCTTAATCTCATTTGCTACTGATAATTAGAAATTCATTTCAGTCTTACTTGAATACTTGTTAAAAGTCTAAACACTGTACAATTTTAGAAAAATGTCTCTTAAAATTTAAGCCATACTACTCAACATGTATGAATTATAATAGAATTTTGCTGTAATGAAAGATGTTAAAAGTTGTTAGTCTAAGTAGAGCAATTACATGGTGGTGTAATTGTGTTAAGGTTGTGTGTGCATCTAAGCATTTGTTTAAAAACATTTTCAAATGGTAATTCTAATCTTTGTAGAGCTTGTGATTATACCAAACTGCTATTAACTATTTTTTCAAACATAATAGAAATTATTGCTAAAAATATTTATAATAAAATTATTAACATTGTATTATCCATTATGAGTATAAGACTGAACAAAGTGTAGCTTAAATTAGCATAAGAAAGAAGGATGAGATGATAAAAATATTATTTATTTTATTTAGAAGTACCTTTTGGTTATTGTATATAATTAAAAGCTTATTGTTGATAAATTGCACTGTAGAGGAAAGTATTTGCTTTTGGTGTTTTATTTGATTAAGGTATTAGGAGCTGTAACATTGTGATGAGCTAAAGAAGTCTTAGTTAGTTGCTTTGTTATAATTTATAGTTTTTCAAATAAAGTAGTGAAACAAATAAAACACAGAATTTAACAAGAAACGTTATTTTCTTTAATGTAAAATTTGCTATCAAATTTATAAGAGGCTTTATATGAAGGTATTTTTGTTTAAAGGAAATTGAACGAGCTGATAATAAAGATAAAGTCATCAAGGAGTACATTGACAAACTGCAGAGTCGGATCAATCCTAAGAACCTGCGTCTTTATGTTGAAGCTTTCCTTTCGTAAGTAATGAGAATCTCCAACCTTACAATGATTCCATTATTTTTAATGTGCCATTAACCTGATAATATGCATTTCTACATACTTAAAAATCAATTTTTAAAATTATGTTCACTTTTAGTGGAAACATTAAGATTATTAAATTTATTATCAGAAACGTCATTAACAAATATTGAAAAAAGTGCAAGTATAAATATTTGGCTATGGAATTGCACTATGATAAAATGACTTATTTCCTTAGCGTCTTCAAGGATAAGAGGTTGATTCATAGGTTGCATATATTTTATAAAGTTAAACCCTGAATAACATGGAACATAAAAGGCACTTAAGTGACCCCTACACACACACACACACACAAAGAGAATCTCAAAGTACACTTGAAAAGTGATTTTAATAATTCTGTAATTGCTTTAGTCATATTCTATTACATATTATTTCACATGTTAACACAGTGGGTACCCAACTAGTATGTATTAGTACGAATGTCAGAAAAGTATATTCAATTAGTTATACTCATTTCTATTTTTCAGAAAGTAAGTTTCTATGTAGGTAGATTTCTCTGATTTGAAGTTATATTAATATGATAATAAGCTCCTCATGCTTGTCCTATAAAATAATGTTATTGTTTTGAAAGATATAAAGCAATTTTTTCAGCTTCTGCAGTTGCATACAGTAATGCTGCTGAGGCACACTGAATATGCATTGTGATTTTTTTTTTTAATGAAGATACTTTTGTGTGAAATATTTTTTATTATTGGAGTTTTGTAAATTTTTTTAAGATTTCAATGTGAATAGTTAAGGTATGTAAATATATTTATTTATTCTCTTTTAACATGCGATTGAAATGTCCTAAAGTGTTAGTTTGATTTCTGGTGTTATTTTTTTCTTCTAGACGTACAGATATTTCAGGTCTATTAAAAGAACACATGAAGTAAGTATTGGTTTCTCAGTTTTATGCTTAATATAATTTGCTTCATATTAAAGAGTTTATGATTTATTAGTAATTATGACTTATGACTTTCTATTTTAAGGAAGAAAAATGTGTGTATGAAAATATCTTCCAATTTATTAGTTTTTTAATTATCAGTTTGTCTGAAATGTTTGTTTTTTTTGTATTATTTTCATACAGTGAACACTACATTCAGACAATCTATATCAATTCAAACAGTTTATAATTGTTAAAGAAGTGCTGTAAGAGTAAAGAACATTTTTACTTTTCTCTAGACTTGGTGTGGTCTGTGATTAATATGCCAGGCTATAGATCTTAAGATTGAAGGTTCATGTCATGAAGCTGCTAAATATGCTCTGCACTTTCAGCTATGGATACACTATAAGAGTCAATCCCATTATTTAATTCAAAGTCCTTGTTGTGGCAGGTGGTAATAACTAGGTGCTTTTCTCTGGTCAGCAGTTCAAAATTAAGGATAACTATATCTGAACCTTAGGGCCCTCCGATCTGGGTGTTTAAACCACCTGCACAGGATGTGCTTTTCAGGTGAAAAATATCATTTTGTGTGACTCTCCTGTATATAATGAAAGCACCTCAGTTGTCTAATAGGGGGTTGTAATAGTGATTTAAGGATGGAAGGAAGTAGACATAAAGTAGTGTCATATACTTCTTGCAAAGTTTCCTAATGGTTACAACTTTTCTGTTTAATTTATTGTAAAAGAAGGGAGGTTCATTAATAATATTTGACACAAGGTATTTTTTGATGTTCAAACTTAAAAATACTTTTACATTTTTTTTTCATATGAAAAAATTTCTTTCTTGTTTGTTTTTTGTACGTTATTATTGTAAAAAGTTTAATAATGAAAAGAAAATAATCTGTGATGAATTGATAAGTTAACAGATTCTATAATGTTGGTACAATGATTTAATAGAACTAACAATAATGCTATTTAAGATTTTATTTAATATGGTATTTAAGTTATTTAGAATATCTGAAAGAATGTTCTACATCTTTAATTACATAGAAATTGATAAATTATTAAATTCTGCCTCATATATCTATTAATAATGATGTATAATGGAGAGAAGCATTAAATTTAAAAGAGGGTTTAATGATGTTCTAGCACCCTACAAAAATATCTTGCAAGATTTGTGGAGGAAAGGCAAACAGCTGAAAATTGTTGGCTTTATGTAGCCCAAGTCAGCCAATGTAACACCTTCTGACCCCATCCCATTGATATTAAGTTTTATTACACATATTATCAGCTTGATCTTCCCTAAATATATATATATATTAATATATTTCGTGACAATCTGAAAGTAAAAGAACAAAAATTCTGTGAAAAAGTAACTGAGTAATAGTGTTTTCATTACTGTTAAAATTACAACTAATAAATATAGATTTTGACTTTCTAGATTGTACTTTATTACATTTCTTGTAAGTTTTTATATCTACAGATTGCTTGCATATGTCAATATTGTATTTATGTCTATAAAAATTTATGAGCTATAAAAAAATGCATTATTTTGTTACAAAATACATTAACTAGTAAACAAGTGTTATTGAGACATCTTTTTTTCTTCTCATTTCCAAAATAAATAGTGTGTCTGTTTTATTTCTGTAATATCATTTATATCACTATTGCTGTAGGGTCGACACCTTGTTGGTGACTGGAGCTAAGGCTTCTCACCTGCATACAGTTCATACAATGCACTCTCACTTGGATCCTCGTTTTGCTACCCTTCTAAAAGTAGATGATGTTGGTGATGTCTTGCATGAAGCAGTAAGTGTTTTACAAGTGCTTTGTTTTGTTTTACAACTGAAGAAGGAGGTCTTAACAGAATGTTAAATTCTTGTAATGCTTTACAATCCTCCTGAATATTGTTTTAGCTACACATTATTTGAGAAATAATAATTTACCTCTTATGTAGATAAAGAGATTGTGATATCATACATAATAAGCAATACAATTTGTGTATATGCTATACATATTTGTAGAACACTGAAAATTTTGTTGGCTACTTTTTATTAGAGTTGAATACAGAACCCATATTTTTAAACATCTTTGTTGATAATTTATGATGTTGTTGATATAATTCATAAATTGGAAAGTGAGATTTTGATGACTACAAAAATTGGTCAGTTTTCTGCAATGAATTTGCATAGTCGTAGAATATTTCTGAAAATATTAGTGACAATAGCACCTTGCATGAAGTCATAATTCTTACTTAAAGGATTTTGGTTGATGTGCAGTTATTTGGCAGAATGGTGACATTTTAAATTAAGACTTATTTTGCACAAAGGATCTTTGGTGAACAGTTGTCTAGATGTTGATAATATTGATGGAACATTGGGTAAATTAAATTTGTACAGAAGGTCTCTTGATGCAGAGCTGCCTTAAGGTTGATTGTGTTTGTCAATAAAGTTTTAATTTGTATGAAGAGTCTTATTTTCTATAAAGCTTACTGTTAGTTAGAAAGTTTACAGCTTCAATAGAAGAGTATTAGTCAAGCTGAGCCAGCTTTTGAATGACTTGTTGATTATTAACCACACTTCATCTTTAGTTTTATGGAGTTTCATTATTGCCACTTTGACATAGTTATAACAGTACCTATCTCTTCCGATGTAAACTCTTGTAATTTTACTAAGCTCATATTTTCTTGATTACTACTAATGCATGTGCCAAAAAATGATGTTTATATTTCTCAAGATGTTGCAGATTATTACAAGGGAAGAATTAGTGGCTTTACCACTTTTTAAATTTTGCTGTTATTTAGATTGATCAATTATTGCCATCTGAAGCTGCACATAAGGCATTAGGTGGATTATAGAAACTTTTTTATAAGGTTGGAAAAATACAGCATCAGAATAATACTCTGATATTTCTACTTATCTATAATTGTTATAGCTGTAGAAAAGAAACTGATAGACATTTAATTTAATCTAAGAATTGACCAAAATTATAATTATTAAATCTAATTTTATTCTAAAGATTGCATTAAAGCAATGAATGACACAGTTTATTCTTAATTGATAACATTGCCAAGAACTTTATAATCTGCAAATAAGCTAAATTTTCCAAAAACTTATATTTTCCTCACTGGTTTAGTCAGGTTCATTGAATATTTACCTACTTTTGTTGATTCATTTCACCTGATGATCCTTAATTTCTTGATTTCAGCCTGACAGCTTAGCTCATAATCTGCTACTGTTTTGCCAAGGACTGGGTTTATGTAAGTAAACATGTATCAGTATGTAGTAGAAGTAAAATAAAACCTAATACTGATTAGTTTTTATACTTTATTTTTAAAGTTATAAATGTTTTTATTACATATAAGAGGTTAGCATATAATTTTGCTTCCAGTGGCTCAGAGGTAAGTCTTAAAGCTTGTAATGCTAAAAACTGGGTTTCGATACCCTTGATGGGCACAACACAGATGGCACATTGTGTAGTTTTGTGCTTAACAACAAACAAAGCATATAATTTGTTATTGGTAAAGTTATGAATTTTTATCACTCTTTTTCTAGCAAAAAAAGTATTGATCTTAAAGTATCAGCAGAACATTTGCCTTGCTTCAACATTGGGATATTGATGAATAGTAATATTTCATTAGCATTTGAGGAAATTAAAATTTAATTTTTCACATGATTCTGACATACACACACACACACACACAGTATGGGTGGTATGTGTGTGTGTGCATAAAGATGACATGTCCAAAAGTTTATTGTGAAAGGTAGAATTCTGATTTATTTTTTATTTTGTCTTTAAAAAATTTTTTTCGTGGACTAAAACATAACTGTTTCTCATCACTCTTATCAGAAACATGTTTAGAAAATATAACTGTTTCTTTCACAAGCATAAATATGTGTGTTTTAGGCCCCATTGGAGCAATCAGATGCAAAACTATTAGTAATTGTTAACTGGATAGATTGGCATATAATTTAATCATAGCAGACCATGTTAATTATGTTTTTTGATTTAAAAAAACAACAATATAAATACTTGTTTTTAAGCTGTTGTACATTTATTAAACTTAATTGTACTTAAAATACACTTATTCCTTTTTTATAACAGTTAGTACACTGCCTATGTCCCGACAGTCATCTTTCTCATAAAGGCCACGGATGAATGCAGTCAATATATATGTTGTGCTCTTTCAGACTTGCAGAAATGTGAGGTGACAGTGGACTTCAAAAAAACAAATACTCTCACTTAAAATCAGAGAAGACATTTAGATATCATAAAAGTGTTCTTTACATTAAAGTGTTATTGTATTCTGTGTTGAATGTTACAGAATTTCTATTTCATTTTTTAATTAGTTTATCTTGATTTGTTGACAAACATTTCTTGTTAAGTTGAACCATTGATAAGTTTGTCCTTTTTAACAGTTATCTTAAATATATAGTTCTTATACTGATTGCAGATTTAGATTTGGTCTCAATGTATGTGTTTTAATGTTCAGAATGAAGTAATTACATTTAAAGAGCTTCTACAGAAGGTCAGATGTTTTAGAATAGAAATCACAATATTTTTATGGATTGACAATTTTGATTAGAATATCACTCAATAAACATGTAATGTAAGCTTTCTTTTTATTTTATACAAATGCAAATTCTAATTTGCAATGATATGTAATGTACCTTTCCTATTTTGTATTAGAAAAGGTTTTGCTCTTGGTTTTTGTGATCTTACGTCACTAGTTTTATTTTAACAATAAATTGAATACAGATTTTACTTTCACGACAACTGTACAACTTACTGAGGTTCATAAAACAGTATTTTATATTTTTGACCAGATATACACATACTATATTCTTATATACTTCTATAAACAGAGTAATGACTTGAATTTCATATGTGCCTGATTTGTGTTTTTTCCTAACACAAAAAATATTATTAAAGCTACAAAGTATATTTAACATACAGTATTACAGTTAACTTCTGTGAGGATTAGTTATGATGGATTTGGTATTTGTTAAATAAAGTTTCTCCTACCTAATCGTTGAACTGTTTCACTGATTTAATAATTTAACCTATAAACATATTACATTAAATTTCAAATCTTTAGTTGTAGTATTAAAAAAAAGTTCAGTAAAAATTGAAACTCACACCCACACCAGATCATGAACCTTGAGAACTCTATTTTTAATGAAAGGCAGTCAAGTTCAAAACCATTCATTTAGCCTATCTATTTACACTTGGAAACCTGAAGACATATGTTTCAAAAATTCTATCAGTTGAATGCAGGGGAGCTCAATTTAATTCATTGATTGTGGTTGCTCTAAACATGCACAGAATTTTTTCAAACCATATATGCCACACTCATTCAACTGCTGGAGGTGAATCTACCCTATACAATGAATCAGCAGTTAGTAGGTTAAAGAAAGAAATATAGTATCCATCATTAGATATGAGTAAGACAATTTTAACAACCTTTTCCTTAACTACTGGATTTTGTTTTCATTTCCTGTTGGAGCTTTTTATAGATGTTACTTTCTAACCATAATGTTTTCTCTATTTTTAACTAAAATATTTTCATAAAATTTCTCCTGAAATAAAGAAATCAAGCATAAGTACAACATTAAAATCAGTTACTTTTTAGTGTATGACAGCCACAATATACTGGCTTGATATAGGGTTCATAGTCTATAATAAAAATGAGGTTACTGCTGGAAATAAAGAGAGTCATATCAGTTATTTAGTGGAGGGAGTCACAGTGTTCAATACAATGTTTAACGTTTCAAGTATGGAATAATGTGTAAAAGTGTTTACAATAGTGTTAACAGTACATCAATTATATTTTTCAAAAGTATTTGAACTTTAAGATGATATTGTTATTAGCACAGACATTTACTATACAACCTTCTATAAGGATGCAAGTTTGTCCACAAAGTAGTTTTTTAAAATACTGTATTGAAGCTCATAAAAATGATAGCTGCTCAGAATAGTCTTCCATGTAAATTATTAAATATTTCCAGCAAGAGTCTGATCTGAATTGTAAATATATAAAAAGTGAAACCATTATAATTTCTGTAAAAGTCAAAAACATTACATGTTAGTAACAGCAAGTTCAGCAGTTAGTCTGAGGGCTTATACTGCCTAAGATTGGGTTTTGATACCTGCAGTGATAGAACACAGATAGCTAATTATGTAGCTTTGTACTTAACGTACATAAACAGTAACATTGAATCCTTCTTTGATTCAGCTAATTCTTAGGCCAACTGTAATTGATTTGTGCTTAAAAATATTCAATAAATATTACATATTTGACTTAGAAAATTTTAACAGAATTATAACAATAAAACAGATGTTGGAATTATAACTTCACCTTTGAATTATAAGCTAAATTTCTAAAAATTGTTTCTGTTATCCATCAAAAGAATTGGACACTGTTACAAATAAAATGTTGTAAATGCAGTAAAATGTATCAGCTTCATGGTTATTTGTCTAAGTGAATGGTTATAAGTGAAGTTAATTAATTAATTTGTGGTGCATTCCCAATTTCTACTCTGAAACTAATGTTTATCGTACACAATGACTTTTTTTTTAAATAACTTTCAGTGATGATTGATATTATATTCCAGACTGATAACACTGACATTTTCTACAGATAAATATTAACTTCCAGCATCTTACAAGCAATACTAAATATCAATAGTTGATAAACTAGAATAGTAAGTTTAAATTATATATATTTATATATAAAACTAAAATAAAACATTCAAATATGTGGTACTGTAATAAATATTGACGTTTAGATTATAGTCGTAGTGCATTAAGATCAAAGTGTGTTTTACACATAACATTAAAAGAGAAAAAGGGGCCTTTTGGTCCATCTAGGTCATACTATCCATTAGATTAAGCACTTAAAAATCCAAAGCCAGCTTTTACCATTCAAATATTTATCAAGCCAACCCTTAACTTTCCTTAAATTAATTCCACTACATCTGAAGGCAACCTTCTCCAAAGGCCAACCACCCTGTTAGTAAACTAAAACTGCCTTACCTGAAGATGATGGAACAACACTACCGATTCCCATAAACACACTCAGATCCACTCTAACTCTTCATCTTTTCAAGATAAAATATCGGAGATCTTAATCTATTCTTGTATGACAACCTTTCCTTCTCAGGCATCATCCTAGTAGTCTTCCTCTGAACCCTTCAACAATTGAATGTCCTTTCTAATGTAAGGGGCTCAAGACTGAACTGTGTACTCCAAATGTGGCCCAATCAGTGACCTATACAATGATGTTATAACCTTTTTAGACTTTTAGTCCATATTTCTGTAGGTGAAACCTAAAATCATGTTTGCCCTGCCACTAGCAACAGCACATTGTTTGGATGGCTTAAGAGACTGATCTAAAAGAACACCAAAATATTTTTTCCAACATTAATGTTAAGGTTATTGCCATCAAAACCGTACTCATAATTAAAATTGTGATATCTAGCATGAATTACCTTGCATTTGTTATAACTAAAAGCCATCTGCCTTTTTTTTACCAGCTTACCAAATAATCCAAATCCTTTTGTAAAGCAGCAGCATCCTCCTCGCAGTCGACAATACCCAAAACATTAATGTCATCAACAAATCTATTTATCCTTGTCTATTCTCAAATCATTCTGTCATCTATGTAAATAAAAAAAGCAAATGTCCTAACATTAATCCAGCTTGACTGAACTCCATTTATAACAAAACTACTTTCTTCTATTTAGCCAGTTTTCTATTCAATGAACCAATGTATTCCCCACACAAAGAATAATATGTAATAATATGTCAACCACACTGTATCTGCTATCCAGTGTTGACAAAGCCTTTCGCTCAATACCAGTACTCATCAAGCAGATTGGGATACGAGAAAAATATATGAATAGGGATGCTACATACTTGTCTGTTGTAAACTCTAAACGAAACTCAGTTTCTTATTTTAATGTGCTTGTTTGTTATGTTTCACTGACCAGTACCTCTGGACCTCACCATCTATATAAAATCAGACCCAGGGAGAGTACAGGCTCTGGATGCTCGGGGGAAGAAGGTGAGCCATAAGCAACTATATGTTCTCAAGCTTTTAGTGAGAGGTTTTATTGTAGAATCTCTTATTAATATTTTTTGTTCCACTATACAGAAAACTATAATTCATCTCTTCAATAAATAAAACAAAAAAGAATAAAAACGAACTGAACTTTTTATTAAAATTAATTATAATCAATCATAACGAGAGGTTCTAGTAATTCAAACAGATTTGATTTGGATGTTTAGTTTTAAAGGTGCAAAGTATCAGAGCTATCTGCGTTAGTATATTGATAAAAAAGGATTAAAAAACAAACTTAAAATACGAAAAATAAAGGAAAAATAAAACAATAGGCCAAAAAGTATCAGATTTTATTTTTTTTTTAATTCGAACCAAGGTTAAAAAGTAAATAGAAAAAAAAAACGATCAATCTGAACTGTGTCACTATCCCCAACGTCAAAAATAAACCTGGAAACAAAATGCCTAAAATGGTGCTGCTGCTGGAAATCGTAATGACGACATAAAAGTAAAAGGTGGCCAGATGTGACTGGAGTGTCACAAAAGCCACATGTTGTTGGATCAGACCTTTGTGAAAGAAAATAATGAGGTATGAAACTATGGCCAATGCATAGTCTAGACAAGACAATTTCCTCTCTCCAATGTTTACAGAAACTAGGCTGTAAAACTACAGTATACTTTATCTGGAAAAGCTTGTTATAAAGTTTGTCACTCAATAACACTTGATAACAGCTCTAAAGTCCACACAGAAAATTGATAGGAAAATAATCAATACCCCATGGACCATTGGCCACCCTCCATGAAAAACAAGGAAGAAGGGAAGAGGAACAAATGGATAGATCAACAGCAGTAAAAGACTGACTAGGAGCATTAAGGAGAGAAAGGTTGTTATATGAGAGCATGTGCTCCACAGAACGAACCTTCCAATAAAAAAAAAAAAACACCTTAGCGTGGATTATGTCCATTAAAGTCTCCAAAACTGAGGAAGGGAGATGGCAACTGTTTAGTAAGGTCATCAAAGTCTGTCTGCTCATAATCTTTCCACAGTGATAGGTATAGAAAACAAATAGTGATGGTATGATCTATGGAGACACAGATGGCAACAGCCTCTAGTGCTATACTGAGTGGCACAGACATGGTGGGTACATGTTATTCAATCAGCAGTGTCACATCCTCATGAAATCGTCCATCACGCAACCTGTCTTTCCTGTACATGGAAAATCGTCAAAAACTGGTAGTATTGGCAGGCCTTAGGAATGCTTCCTGTAATAATAAAGATACATAGGATGATAAGAATCAAACAAGGCCTTAATGACATCTAAATTGGAAGCAGAACCTCAACATTTCCACTGTATCAAAGTGGCCAGTTTTATTTAGAAGGAGAAGGAAAACCAGGTGTAGAGCCTTTTTGTTGTTTGTTTTGGACCACTTCGTTTTTGCTTATTACAAAGAGATTTATTGACTGCCACAGATCCTGTTCTATGGCAGTGGAATGGATTGCAGCTGCATATGTCCAACTTAGAAGAGGGGACAGCAATTTCCGTGTTTCAGGTCTCAGGATAAGAAATATTTTTAGTTTTCAACTGCTGTACCACTTTATCCTTCACCCATTTAGAGCATGAACGAAAGAAGGAGGAGTGAGAACCATTACTGTTAATACAATTTATTTGATGGTCATAGCTACCAAGGCCTTTGTCGTCATAACGAGCAAACCTCAAAGTACCATAACCAGATGTTTTTGAGTGGTCAAACTACTAGTATTGAAAACAGTGAAGAGGGTTTGGAACATAGGGCATTGTATTACAGTTCAGATAACGTGCCTTGATAGAAACAGCTGGACGTGGCAGTGGAAACGAGAACGTGCATAGGCCACATTATTAATTCTTTATGAGTGGAGATATGTCGCACTGCCTAGAATGTAACTTCTTGACCGACTTAGGAGAGCCAGCAAGTCCCTTTAATACCTTCTG